CTCAGTCGTGCCACATGAACTCACACACGCACACACTCAGTCGTGCCACATGAACTCGCTCTCACACACACTCAGTCGTGCCACATGAACTCGCTCTCACACACACTCAGTCGTGCCACATGAACTCGCTTTCACACACACGCACACACTCAGTCGTGCCACATGAACTCGCTCTCACACACACGCACACACTCAGTCGTGCCACATGAACTTGCTCTCACACACGCACACACTCAGTCGTGCCACACAAAGACAAAGTGACGCGCTTGCCAGCAGTCGTTTCACACGCACACACACACACGCACACACGCACACACACACGCACACACTCGCGCACACGCACACACACACGCACACACACACACGCGCACACACACACGCGCACACACACACGCACATACACGCACACACACGCACACACACACGCACACAAGCACACACGCACACACACGCACACACACACGCACACACTTGCACTCGCTCGCACAAAACAAAGACAAAGATCCCCGTGTAGCCCGGGCCGCCGGATTTGCAGCGCAGCTCTCCGTCCGCTGCACCACCGCTCCCCGCGCTCGCTCACACGCACACACAGTCGTGGCACGCACACTCACACGCACACACACACACAGTCGTGCCACGCACACTCACACGCACACACACACACAGTCGTGCCACGCGCACTCACACCCACACACACGTACACACACAGTCGTGCCACGCGCACTCACACGCACACGCACACACACACACAGTCGTGCCACGCACACTCACGCATGCACACACACGCACACTCACGCATGCACACACACGCGCACTCACACACGCGCACACGCATGCACACACGCGCACACTCTACGCATGCCCACACACGCGCACTCACACACGCGCACTCACACACACGCACGCACAAGCGCACTCACACACACACACGCACTCACACGCGCGCACACACACGCACACACACGCGCACTCACACACTCCGATCTGCCCTCGCCTCCACCGTCAGGGACGGAGTCTCAAGACAGCCGGATCCCAATTACATTGCCCCTACCACAAATCTGGTGGTGGGGGGGGGGAGCAGTGCGAGGCGCATCTCATAGAGAAGAAGTTTCCAGTGGGACTGTCAAGACTCGCGCTTTGTGTTGCGCTTGTGAGCACACTGCGTACACACAAAGACAAAGATCCCCGTGTAGCCTGAACAGACTGTTGGGGCAAGTGCTGTTAGCGAGCACCTCAAGAAGGCCGGCACGGCACACGAGGGGGTGGGTGGCCAACGCCACGCCCGGCAGCCTTTGCCTCCCCCGTGGCGATGTTTACACACCGCACCAGGTACTAATTTGAGGCTGAGTCGACCTAGGGGAGGTCCATGACCGGTTCAGATAATCGTCACCGGTGTTGGCTGTAAGCGGGAATGGAACTCTGATGGCCGGGTTCTTAGACCGCATGCTAAGCGCTACACTACGTCACTACTACTCCCCACAAGACAAAGATCCCCCATATAGCCTAAACAGACTGTTGGGGCAAGTGCTGTTAGCGAGCATATATACACACACATATACACACACTCGCAGTGCAATTATTCCTTTGACCAAATCATTGTATTACATGAAGGAAATTATTTTCTTGCCGACTGGAGCTATGCTCTGTGCTGTGCGTGTCGTATATATTGCGCTGTGCGTGCGCGCGCGTGTGTGTATATAATACGGAGCAATCAAAATGTTGTGAGAAGAAAAGCATGCACTGGCTCACCCTCGTTAACGTAGCTTAGTTTTGTATATGGCTCTGTGTATTGCAATACACTTATGGCAAAGTCGTGTAAGCAGTAAGTAATTAGTCTCCACATTAAATGCAAGGAAATAACTTAGGCAACTCATCTCGAAAACTTTTTTTTAACCTTCTCTTACCCATTGTATGTGTTGTACGTGAGCTGCAATTTACATTGTGTGTATATATGTGTGTATATACACATATATACACACAAAGACAGTGATCCCATGAATACCCATTACAGACCTCTGAGATATTTGCTGTGTAAGTGAGCACCTATAAAGGGCCCCATAGAACAAGGTGATGGTGTGGTCAGCGCCATGGCAGGCCACCTTTGTTGGCCCAGTGCAGACGTTTCGAGGCTACACCAGGTGCTCATTTAAGGCGAGGTCAACCTGGGAGAGGCACAACACGGGGGCTAGATGCCACTTGCCACTGATGTCTGCCATGACATGGAATCTGACCTAGGTCGCCGGGTCTATCGCTCACCTTGCTGGCTGCCGCAGCATCGTGCACACATGCAACAACAACAACCACCGCCATTCATCAGTGAATGGTGGGGACGTCACCACGGCGCTTGTGCCAGGCTATGTGTACTTTAAGGAACATGAAGTGTTCCTCTGGCAGGATGTCATGGGACAGATCCAAAATGCCCTGAGTTGACTGAGATGACTTGCCGATGCACCACCTGTGCCCCCCTACTGTGCTAACTTTCCTGAGTTTTAACTGCTCAGCGCTCCGCTCGTTGTTGTGCGCACGCACACATGTTCTTGTAGTGCAGTTTGTGTGTTCATGGGAGTGGTGGCATAGTTGTTAGGGCATATCGCTACGTTGCCGGCGACCTGAATATGATTCCCAGCCACACCTAAAATCAGTGGCAGGTGATATCTGACACCCGTCCTGGCACCTCACCCTCACTTCTGCAACCTACACTGACCAGCGTAGTGAAGTATGGATAAATAATGTCCATGAACAACACGATTGGGGCACCATGGTGGCAAGATATTCACTACCTTGCCTGGTATACAGGAACCCATGGGTTCATCCCAAGCCTGACGCCTGCTGTATATGCAGAGTTTGCATGTCTCGCTCCGCGTGGTCGTGTGGATTTTTCTCCGAGTCAACATCACACGTTTCGAGTATTTGTCTGACACAATCAATCATTTGTGGCCAGGTCGCTTCTGAAAAAGAGCTATATAGTTCAGTGGACCTGGTAAAGTTAAAATGTTTTAGTTTAGATTGTTGAATGACGAAGGGCTGCAATGTATTATTGTTAGTTTTGCGATTATGTGAAGTAAATGGACTCGGATGTTTTCATCTTTGTTTATGTAAAGGTTTTGTGCGTACCTTTGATGTGACCAATGCGACCCACGAAGCCCAGAATTTTGACATGGTTAGATCTTGGTTCTTTCGGTAAAGTCACGTTGAAGGGAAACAATAAAATAATAAAATATATATTTTATTTTTATTTTATTGTTTCCCTTCAACGTGACTTTACCGAAAGAACCAAGACTATGAATCACTGCAGTCACGAAAGCTTTAAATCAAAATGGTTAGATCTCTCCCAGATCCAGTCGAGCCCTAGGACTGGTATTTTATTGGCAGAGTATAATAATCCGAAACACACGCTCACCATACGGACTGCATAAATAACATTTCATATCAAAGTCGTTTTCGGTACTGCTTGGGCAACCTCGGAACGTTTGAAATAATCACGAATTATTATTATTATTCTAATTTTAGCCAATATCAAAAATGCCTCGGATCCCTATTCGCCCGAGCAGGTGAAGAACACCTGAGTCTGAAACTGAGGAATGAGCGAAGGGAAGTTCTTCACCCAGATCTTGGGCCCCCTCGTGAATGCCACTCCAGAGACGCTGAGTTTACTCGATGGAACTTGAAATGAGACTCCCCCCCCTCCCTCCCTCCACTCCCTCTTTCCCGCTTCCTTCCCCGAAGAGAAGGGATCTGACGCACCACGCACCACGTAACGCTACGGTCCTACACGTCCACGTTGGTTGTCTGTCCGAGCCGCCTATCTCCCGAGGCACCACTCACCTGTCGTGGAGTTGTACACCCCCCACCCCCCACCCCGTGGTGGGATCAATAAAAAATATTTACAACAACGAAAAATACCTCCGAAGTGACAGTAACAGCTGAACGGGAGCCACGATATTAAACTTGGTGTCCTGTGAGAGGAGTCCGCGGCATGTTAAGTGATCGACTGGGCCGCATGTATCACACTGGGCAATAAAACAAAGCATTAATTTCATCTCTAGCGTGATCAGAACACTTGTTTTGTATAAAGTTTATGGATTCATCACGTGGCCAAAGCATGATTTTAAAACTGTAAAACGCATTAACTTTCAAAATAGACTGCATGGGGTCTGTTAAGTTTGCCAGATATTGCTTGTTAAAGAGATGATCATATGTTTGTGGACTCATTTAATAGCATATAATTATTTATGCATTCCACATGGTGAGTGAGAGTTGTGGATTAGTAAGTTGTTCAAAAATATGTAAGGTATGATTTCGGGTGTTTTACAAGTGCCAAAGTGAAACGTGTGAAATGTGCTCAATCTTATAAGGGCCTCCGTCCTCTAAGTTGACATGCCAGGCCTCTACTTTGAGCATTGTAATTGTCTGTATTTGCTGTCATGCAGCATTCAAACCGACAACACCCGTGCATTCCCAGGCAGTCTCACAGCCAAGTAGCGACCAGGCTCAAACATGCTTAGCTTTACCAGAGCTGATGAGATTGGATATTTTACTTTCGGACGGAGACCAGAGCAGCTGAAAGAAAACCCATGACTGTGATCAAAATAACTTACAAAATTAAATCCACACTGGGAAAAAAAAAATCGGCAACATATTTTTGCTGCACTTGCTACAGCTTGGCGGATGGCACCCGGAGTGCCACAGTCTCTGCGCGACGCACTGGGTTGCCTACGTGGGGTGTGAAAGAAGTTCAACACAGAATCATAATCGCAATATTTCTTTATACTGGAGGAATCTGATGAGCCATAAAGCTCTTTTTCACACATGTCCAGTTGGGGAAGGTCAGAATGTTACACCAACAAACAATTGAAAAACCACAGTAAGAGTGCAAACTATAGGAAAGGTAAACAAATCACTCGTAAAATATAACGAGAAAAGAATATTGTTTTAAAAAGGGGGTAAAAACCCATCTGACGCATTCTTGTTCTGCTACCTGTGCCCTGGTTGTATTCCAGCAACAGCTACGAAGGGCTCATGGGGCAGCCCGTTCCGGGTGGCCATGGCAACCAGAAGATCTGCGTGATCTGCTGCGACGAGGCTTCCGGCTGCCACTACGGCGTCATCACCTGCGGCAGCTGCAAGGTGTTCTTCAAGCGCGCCTCCGAAGGTGCGCTCACGCACCTCCTCTCGCGCAACTGCTGCACGGTTTGCCGTTGTACATCGCTCGTCGCGCGGAGCGTCGTCCGAGGGGCCGGTTTGTAATACCTAAGCAAATAAATCCAGAAAATCGACACTGCTGAAAAATCAACAAATTGTGTTTGAGGTGACATTCATGAGCATTAACGCTCATGAAAGGAGTTGGCCAAACATCCCAACATAGGACCGCGGACCTTGGAAAAATTTTGGCTCTGGCTCTGGCTGCCTTCCCGCTTGTCCGTGGATCCCCACGCCTCCGTTCAAAAACCTGTTCGCATTACAGATTCTACCGCTTTTTGAGATGAAAATTGCACGAATGACGGGATATGAAAATAATCCATTGTTAGTATTGAATTTCATTTCAAATATTTCTTTGCGACATATGTTCCTGATGTGGCTCGGAATAATATTTCGGAGAGTGGGAGTACAGAACCACTCTGCAGGGCTCATTTGGCTTCTTATTTCATGCGCCCAGAGAGGCCGCTCACCATTCTCCCCCCTCCTGACCCCCCCACCCCCACCTCAAGGTTTAAAGAATTGAGTGCTCAGCATTAACTTATTTCTCGGTTAATAGGTCTGGGGCTCTGAAATTACATTCCAAACTTCAAAACCCCTGATATTGCAGCTTATATACATTGTGAACATTTAACAAAGTAATGAACAATAATTAAGACATTCACCGCGAGATGAGAGCCTACCCCATGCTGTGTCGCTCATGGGAATTATTTTGGCTATATTTCACCATGCTGGTCAATGCACGGGGGCCCAAGAGTGGTTTAGCTATTGTTTGCTACCGATGTTATCTGTCGTCGGGAATGAAACTCAGGTCGCCAAGTTCATAGCACGGTGTGCTTTACAGTGATGACCTAATGGGATAAGATTGGGGGGTTGGATGGGATGGAGAGCAGTAGAGCTGTCTTTGGGCAGATAATTCAAGATGATGACTGTGTGTGTGTGTGTGTTTTGTGTGTCAGTGTGATGCCCAAATTTGAATAAAATCCCACAGTCACTAAATTATTAAAGCTTCCTTCCTTGAATGCTCGTACCTGCGGTGAGCTTGAAGGAATCTTACAGGGAAGATGTCACGGTGCATCTCTTGGCATGTGGCTGATGATGATGTGAATCATTAAAGGATAATTGGATTAATTGTAATTTAGTATCCTAGGACATACGGTATCTTTCAGTGGATATGTCATCCGTTCTGTTGCCTCAAGGCTATGAGCAGATGTTCGCCTGTCCGCTTGCACCACGTGATTAAAAGAAGCGCCAGCCGGGACATCAGCCAACACAAAACTTGCGTAAAGCACTTTACTGGGCTGAAACTAAACATGTGATTTAAAGAAATATGCTCAATTTTAAGCGTCACGGGATCACAGTGTTATCTTGTTTTACAAGCGCGAGGGCATCACCGGTCTGGCATCAACTCACGAAGTTGTACAGCCCGTTCACCTGTGAAATGAAAAAAAAAACAGCTATAACTTTGTGATGATGCTCGCAATCGATGATCAAGTTGTCTCACCCGGCATTGACATCTCGCACACACACGATGGAATAGGGCTCAATTTCCTTGTAGTGAGTGTCTCTGAACAATGATGTCGGCGTGTCTAGTTTAATAAAAACAAATTTTACGTGGCTGTTTTTGTGCAATTTTACAAACTGCAGTAGGGCCAGAGTGCGTGTCTCGTGAAAGAGTGTTTTTAGGCGCTGGTGGTTATGGAGAAAGCTAGGAGCCCACTTCACAGCGTTAAATTCACAACCCATGAAGCTGTAAAAATCACACACACTTACTTTTTATGATCTCTCACATTTTGTATCCCTCTCTGTAAGCACACACGCACAATGGACTGCCTTGGAATGCGGCGAGCGATGATGATACCAATTGTGAAAGGGAAGTGGCTGTAAGCATGCTATCATAATCATTGCGTGGTACACAACTTACAAGGCAGATTGCCCTGGTGTTTTATAACGCTTTTGCTGAACCAGAGTAAAGAGGCCAGACAGCTGGGGTGGTGGTGGTGGTGGTGGTCATGAGGCCACCCATTTGCTGGTGGGGCAGTCCCAGAGAAAGTGGAGCGCCTGTCAGCACTGTGTTTCACACGGAGCGCGAGTCCCGCTCTCGTCAGCCCCCCTTTGTACCTGCCGTGCTCGGCGAGTGAAGCCCCGGTGGGCGTAGGGCAAGGCAGTGCAACCCCGAGAACTTCGCCACTAAGATAATTAATCGAGCTTACGCCAACCATTTCGTAACACCTCGTCCAAGGGCACTCTACCGTCTAAAACGAATTGTAAAATCTTCAAAACGACAAGTGTTAATTAAACGCAAGCTTTGGAAAGGGGAGAACGTGTATTTAAAACTACAGATTGATACATTATGAAGCAAGCTTAATAGCATTTTAAAAATGTAGGATAAAAATTAAATGCTTATTCAAGATGTGCTTTTAAAACATAGACGGTCCGTCCGACTGGCGAGCGAGTTCCATGGTGCGCTGGTGACGGCAGCGTGTGTGCATGCCTTCATCCAGCAGTGGATTGACCACGTCTGATGATGATGACATTGAAACAGAGTGCTCTTGTTATTGAAATGTTGGTATCCGATATCAAAATAATTAAGGAACCCAGTGAACTGTGCAGATATATGAAGAAGAAAACAATTCCCAGCATCAAAACAAAAATTGCCATTGTTATTATTGCCTCGTGATGTACTGGGACACACGTGCTTGCACAATTTATCTACGAAAATTGCACGATGTGATTGTTTTAATGTTCACAATGCAACTTGTCTTTATGGACGACACGTTTGCCACGGGGCGCGGGGAGGGGGTGGTGACACAGTGGCCAGAGAAGCGCTTCACTATGCGACTGGTTGATCACATTCATACCCCCCCCCGCCCCCCAAGGCGAGCGGCGTGAGTGGCGAGTGAACACCAGAGCCTGTCCTGTGCCACCCCCTTTCACTCGCACCCACGGCTGCACGCTGGCCAGAGTGGGGAGGTATGGTCGCAAAGCGACAAAAGATTGGAGATGGCACCTCCGCTTCCTCACCTGCTCATCGTGTTGCAGCGCGCCACTCGTTTCCCGCCATTCGCCAATCGATGAATTGCCCCGATTTTATTACGTTTTGGGATTCGTATATATGTTAATGTCGCGTTTGGACTGCATTGCTTTGCGTTGAGAGTCTGGTATGTCCACTGTGTGTACGGGTACGCCTTGTTAGTTTCATCATCCCTAATGCGGCATGCGGATTTCATTTACATGTGCGGTTGCGTTAATTGGAACGAACGTAAGGTATTTGCTTCTCACTGGCGTGATTATATACGTCTTAACACGAGGGCAAGCATTGATTTTAGTAATTGCATCGAAGCGTCGTCCCGTGCCTCCTCTGGACGTGCAGCTGACTGGGTCACGATTCAGTCCCAGCGCTACCTCCGTTGCTGTCCATTATTCACGGCCTTCTTCCTGTTGCCCCCTTTAGTTGCTTGTCATTTTGCACAGGTTTGTTCACCAAGTTCGGCTAAATGTAACATTCGTAAATCATTTACATATCATCATCATGACCATCATCATCTTAAATAGCAGCCACAGCCATGATATCGATCCACTGCTGGATGATGGCCTTCCCGATCCATTTATGCAAGGCACGTGAAAAGTATATTTTTTACTCTTTGGTTTTATTCGGTCATTTTTTTGTTAATCATTAATGTATATTCTGCATAAATCGAGAGTCATGCTATCAGCATAATAATAACAATACGAACGATTTTCTTTTTGCTATTGGGCCCTCCTATATACCTCTGCGGCATCTCGGAGTGCTTAACATCACATCTCATCTCGACAAATTTGAAAAGGGGACTCCCCCAAGTGGCAGCTGTCCCTGTGGGCACAAGGTGACCCAGGACGTGGCCTCCAAACGGGCTGCAGTCTGCCAGTAGGGGGGCGATTATTGCCGCCGTGTGTATAATCCACACCGAGTAATTTTGCGGAATAATTTTTTTGACAAATGTGGACCGCGGACGGTGCAAGAAACGAATGTTCGTCGTAGAGGCGTGGGCCGTGCTGACGTAACGAGCAACCTGCCGTACGGCTCGCGAATCGCCTGAGGAGGAGCGGGGTGGGTGGGTGAGCATCTTCGTAGAATTCCCGGCAATGTTGACTCGGCGATTGAAAAAGGGTGGCTGACTTTTAAAATGCCTGCAGGCTACGGAAGGGCCGCTCGGAAGTATTTTCCTCAAGGTCCCTTGAACTGTGCCGAGGGCAGCTGGGAGAGGACTGGGGAGATGAGAGCAGAGCCAAGAGAACAGAATGTGATGGCTGTGGATGGTGGAGCACTTTTCACGCGTTGGCTTCGCGATGGTGTGGTGAGGCTTTTTTTTTGTTTCTGTGTTTGGATTGGCGTCATGTGGGTTTGAGATCATGGCACCATGACCCAGGGGTTCTTGCATTCCATGTGCTAACAACCTGTTAATCCCAACATGGCAGTAAATTTTGGTGACATTTTTTCTCCTATTTATTACGACTATGATTGTTATTCCTCCTTGGATTTACATTTTTCTTGCGGCTTTTATGTGGGCACTGCTTTGTGCAACCAACTTACAGTAAATGTGTTGTGATTTTTTGCTAAAGGTTTTAAACTTTATTTATTTATATCTGAACTGGTCTGCCATTATATTAGTTTAATGTCTTAAGCATATGTGTATGCTTAAAAAAATGTTACGATGATGATGATGATGATCTGCCTTGTCAGTTGGCAACTAATACATGACTTTAATCATTGCAGTGGCAACTGATTCAATGAGTTTAACGAATTGAGTCGTTTTTATTTCCTTTAATTCCCAGGATCCTGTGTCATCCCTTCGCTGCCTTATCCCCCTTGATTAATGTGCAGCTCTCGCCCACAAAGCAACACTTGCCAGCGTTTTATTTACAACAATAATTTAGCATCGTCGGAAATTGCCGCCAATAATATTATAGCGCGAG